GTCATTATCATTTTTCATTATCACTAATATCATTATGTTATTCCTATTATTGTTATTAGTCTTAATTATTATTCATTGTTGTTTTTGTTGTTGTCTTTACTATTGTTATTACCTTTATTTGTTATTATCATCATCCTTATTCATTGTTATCATTGCTTTGAACAATTTTATCATTATCATTATCATCATTATTATTATCATCATTATTATTGTTAATAGTAGTAGTAGTAGTAGTAGTAGTATATTATTATCGTTGTTATTATTATTATTGTTATATATTATCATCAACATTACCATCATTTACTTTGTTATCGTGTAATTATTATCATTATCGTCATCTTCATTGTTCTTATTAGATTATTATTGTTATTATTGCTGTTAGCATTTTTCTTTATCCTTATTTTTATTATCATCATATCGTCATCATTGTTTATCATTGTTATCATATTTTGAATTATCATTATTATCACCCAAATTTCTTTGGTCATTATTATCATCAATTGTTATTATTGTTTGTTACCATCATTATTATTATCATTATTATCATTATCACATCATTACTATAGTCATTATTATATGAATATGCCATTTTCATTAATTATTACTATTGGTTATCATTATCATCATTATTTATTTATCAATTATCATCATTTATATTATTTCATCTTATTATTGTTATCAATAGTACCATTCTTATCATCATTATATATTACCATTACCATTATCGTTAGTAACATTATTATAATCATTGCCATTATTACTATTATTCACCACCATTTATTTTTACCGTCTTCAAAATCGTCATGATAGAATTGCCATTGTCATTACCATTGTTATCAATTACTGCTTTAATCGTCATTGTCTTTCATCTTATGATTATCACCATTACTATTTCCGCTTTATTACTATTATCCTTATTAACGTCATCATTACCATGACAATTATTTTTTTCTTTATACAACAGGTGAAGAAGCAATAGCAGCAGTCACCGTAGTTAATATAGTAGTAGTAGTTGTTGTTGTTGCTGTTGTTGTTGTAGCAGTAGTAGTAGTAGTAGTAGCAGCAGCAGCAGCAGTCGTAACAGTGGCAGTAACAGTAGTAGTAGTAGCAGTAGTAGTAGTAGTTGTTGTTGTTGCTGTTGTTGTAGCAGTAGTAGTAGTAGTAGTAGTAGCAGCAGTCGTAACAGCGGGCAGTAACAGTAGTAGTAGCAGTAGTAGTAGTTTTGTTATTGTAATCGTAGTAGCAGTAGTAGCAACAGTAACAATAGTAGTAGTAGTAGAAGTTTGTAGTAGTATGTAGTTAGTAGTGAAGTAGTAAATAGTTGTAGTAGTAGTAGTAATATTATTAGTAGTAGTGGCAGTAGTAGTAGTAGTCGTAGTAGCTAGCAGCAGTAGTAGTAGTAGTAGTAGTAATAGTAGTCGTAGTAGTAGCAGGCAGCAGCAGTAGTATGTAGTATTAATAGTAGTCGTAGTAGCAGCAGCAGCAGTAGTAAGTAGTTAGTAATAGTAGTCGTAGTAGTAGTAGCAAGCAGCAGTAGTAGTTAGTAGTTAATAGTATTCGTAGTAGTAGCAGCAGCAGCAGTAGTACGAGTAGTAACAACGATCGTATTAGCAATGGATTAGTAGTTCCAAATAATGGTAAACATAATATCAAAACTAATACTAACAGAGGATAATAACAAGAGTAAAAGCAAGATAATCATTATGCAGATTCGAAGCTCGCAATAAATAGTCTGAAGTGAGCAACAAACACTCACTGATGGGTGCTCCGTCAGTCACATCCCATTGCCAGTAAAGCGATTTTCATGAAATCCACGTTTCCCACATCTCATATATTCTTCTTCTATCGAAAGTTTCCAGAGTTTTACAACTTCGATCATAAACAATTTTATTTAATCAGTTTCTTAAACCTCTTACTCTCTCCTTGTCATCGCTATTAGAAGGATTATATCGGAAGCTATATCACCCGATGTAAGTTAAAGGCAACCGAATTATTCGTATCTAAAACATGGCTTCACTCGCAGCGCTGATAGTCCTTAGTGTGTGCAATGAGTGTGTTGCGGTCTTCTCTCGAGTTCGCAAACTGGATTCCCTTGCTGTGCTTAATGGCTAGATGTGCGTTTATATGCGTGGCGTGTTTGTTTGTGTCTATTTGTTGTTTGGGTCTGTCTGTGTGTGTTTATTTGTGTATGTGTGTATGTACGTGCGTGTGTAATCAGAATTCCAATCGATTTGACGAGAGTACGTAATACTGCACGTTCGAGAACCAAAGGAAATCAGAAAATTTATGTAAATTAAGAAGAAGAAGTTTATTTTCCCAAATCTGATATTCGGCTATTCTCTGTCCACTCTAAATCTGTTCTCAGGAAAAGCGCAGGACACAGCGGAGATTAAAATTCAAAATGTTAGCCTTTCCGTTGACTTCAAGTGTAAGACTCTCGGCCACGGTTAGGAAACACAACTTCACAATTGGCGACATGTAAGACCGTGAAATTAATTGTAAATTGATCGACTGCAGCTATGTGTATGCTCACACACACACACAGGCACAGACATACACACACGCGCGCGCACAGACGCTATACACGAGCGCGCTCTCAAAGATATATCAATTGATAGATAGGTATACAAACGTGTATATATATACATATATGTATATGTGTGTTATATGTGCATTTACATATATATAATTATATATATATATATTATATATATATATATATATATATGTATATATATATATATATATATATATATATATATATATATATTATATACATGTGTGTGTAGGCTGTGTGTGTGCATACACCCCCCCCCCCTTCTCTCTCTCTCTCTCTTCTCTCTCTCTCTCCTCTCTTCCTCTCTCTCATCTCTCTCTCTCTCTCTCTTCTCTCTCTCTCTCTCTCTCTCCCTCTCTCTCTCTCTTCTCCTCTCTCTCTCTCTCTCTCTCTCTCTCTCTCTCTTCTCTCTTCTCTCTCTCTCTCTCTCTCTTTCTCTCTCTTTCTCTTTCTATCAGTCTATTTATCTATCTATCCATCTTTCTATCTCTCTATCTGTCTACCTGTCTATCTATCTATCCGTCAATCTCGAGCAGATCTGCCAATATGTATATTCATCTTTCTTTTTTAACCAGTCGCTTTATCTGTCTGTCTGCCAATCTGTTCAGCCACTCCTCAGTATATCTGGCTACCCACTTTTCTGTCTGCCTGTCTATCTATCCATCTGTCTGTCTGGAAGTCTCTCTCTCTCTCTCTCTCTCTCTCTCTCTCTCTCTCCTCTCTCTCTCTCTCTCTCTCTCTCTCTCTCTCTCTCTCTCTCTCTCTCTTCTCTCTCTCTCTCTTTTGCTAATCCTCTGTTCAATATATATGCCTGTGCTGCTTTCGAAATTGTACAAGTCACATTAACAAAATCTACACATAATTCCGAACAATACAAATACTTTAAATTTGTCTATCCTAAACAAAGTTCGTTTTCTTTAATCGTCATCTTAGATGCTCTAACTTATGAAGATCGATTTGCAGTCATGAAATTCAAACGCTCTAGCTAAATGTTTTATATGTAGATTTGTGATATCTGTTATAGTGAATGTGTTTTGCACATATCACGGAGACTTCCTATGTTTTAAATACCAAAGCTTCCTTAGAAATAAACTTGCAGTACTTCTAATATTATTAAGTTATACTTTTCCGACTAAAGCTAAACTGATGTACGATAATCAAAACATTCATGTTCCTCATTGTTGCCAAGCTAATGAATCTATAAAACCTTAAATAACCTTCTTGGCAATTAACTAAATCATAATGAAATTGTCTTTTAATATAAGGTTTATCAAAGCATGATTTATGAAATTATTCCGTACGATAACTTGCTTCCCTTCACACGACATCGAGGAAACGCGATTGTCAACAAACAGCTGATTTTCTATCTGATCTCGTGACGTAAAATTATATAGGTGTTTTTGGCGTCTGGTAAGTCTTTTCTTGGTGTTTTCCACATTTAACTAACAGAGGAGTGTTCCCTCTAACAGAAATTTTAGATATTGATGGGTATATAGGAGTAATAATTAGTGTACTTGCTTCCTGATGAAGGGTGTGTTTGGGAATGTTTATGGAAATTCCTAATTAATTTAATTCTCGGCGACAGAAACAAGTATCTAAGGGGAGAGAATATCCTCTGGTATTCTGTTTTATGCTTTATATTCTTGAATTCATGAGGGACCTTTGGTTTATAGTAAGTAGTTTCAAAACGAATTCATAGGCCTGGCATTTTGGGATAGCGTTGTGTTGACTTGACTCCGGACACATGCAGAAATAGAGAAATAATAAGCTAAGGCCCCGAAAGAGCACACGAAACATCATCATTAGTTTTAGAACAGCGTCCTATAGATCAATATAAAACAGTCACTTCCAAAATTACACCGGCAGTGACTTGACCGATCATCATTACCTCGTCATATTTGGTGGTCACTCTATACTTTCTTTTATACACCTCCCTGTTTTTTTATTTGTTTTTTCTTGTTTAGATAGCAACCAGTGCAAGCTCTATTTTGCCAGATATATATGATAGAGTATATTGGGTTAAGGTTTGTTGGCATTTACCTGAGTACCAAATGTACAGAGGCCATGGCAATGTTGTGACTTAGTCTAGGGAGATGTGGTCTAATGTTCAGAAATTATCAGGATATTATTCATACAGCAGAGTTTGAATTATTCAGAATGAAAAGTGATTTCATGGTCTCCAAATTTTCTCCTTAGGTAAAACAG